TAAAAAAAAAAAAAAAAAAAAAAAGAAATGAAAATTCTCTAGGCAAGTAGTTCTTTAGTCAAAAGTCTACTTGATACATGCCATGGAAACTCTAGGCAAGTAGTTCTTTAGTCAAAAGTCTACTTGATACATGCCATGGAAACAGGTCAGGAGCAATAGTCACCACGCTGCTAACGGCTGGAGTGCAAAGGCAGGGAGATACTCCACTTCTTTATACATTTGAGTTTTCCTTTAATATGATCTCATTTCTTTTGAATTATTTTTAAAATCAAATGCAAAAATGCCATATATAATATTCTTAAAAACCACTGAGTGAATGTAGGTCTCCAGTGAAATAGGAAAGACTTAAATCACTGAAATGGAATATCTAAGAAGTTTAATAAGGGACCATGTCTTGTCCTTATTATGTCCTTGTTCTTAATTGATTCCTTATTAAAACTAATTGCAATTACTTTGCTCCTATATATGTCTCACATAAACTCTAAACTCCAAGAGGCCATTGGACTGCCTTGTTCACATCTGTATTTCCAGCACTAAACAGAGTGCCTAAGGATTGCACCAAAAATATTCAGTTAAGAAATGCAGGCCTATGCTCAACATCATGAATCATTAGGGAAATGTAACTAAAAACTAAAAAGAGAGTCTACTTTATGCCCACTAGCATGGCTATAACCCAAAAGATTGACAATAACAAGTACTGACAAGGATGTAGAAATTGGAACCTTCATACATTGCTAATAGGAATGTAAAATGATGCAGCTGCTTTAGAAAACAGTCTCTTGGTTCTTCAAAAATCTAAATAAAGAGTCACCATATGACACAATTTCACTTCTATATGCCCAAGATAAATGAAAACAAATATCCATGTTCATAGCAACACAAATGTTCATAGCAACATTATTCAGAATAGTCAAAAAAGTGGAAACTCAGAAGTCCATCAAATGACAGATATACAAAATGTGGTATATCCATTAAATGGAATATTATTCAGCCATAAAAAGGAATGAAGTACCAATACATATTACAATATGGATGAACCTTGAAAACATTATGCTAAGTGAAATAATCTACTCACAAAAGGCCACATATTATATGATTCCATTCATATGAAATGCCCAGAACAGACAAATCCAAGGAGACATAAAGTAGATTAGCTGTTGCCATGAGTGGGAGGGAAAAAGAAATGGGGAATGACTGCTAATGGATATGGGGTTTCTTTTTGGGGGTGATGGAATGTTCTGGAATTACTGATGATGATTGTGAAACCTTGTGAATGAACTGGGAAACACTCAATTGTTCCATTTATAAGGGTGAATATTATGGTATGTCATTCTATCTTAATTAAAAAAAAAACACACAATCATATCATCTGTCAGAAATATATTCTGCAGACACAGTATCTTACTTTCTAATCAGACAAGTGAAAAATCAATTCATTGACCTCCCAGCAGCATAAGAATTGTGAAGACTCTAATTCATAAAATAAGGGTTCAGATTGAGGAAGGAAAAAAAGGAAGCCAAAGAGAGATAACTAGTTGGAATAAAAAGAAAGAATGTGATTTAGCAATAACAGCAGAAGACCTAGTAAAACAAGATTAAAAGAAACGGAAAGTAGCAATCAACAATCATTGATTCCTACGTTCTATTTCCATTGACTCTCTTTGCTGGTGGTTGTCTTTAATTCTGTGCATATATTTCCCAATGAAAATGGAGCTCTTTTCATCTATGACATATGGGTAATAAATGTCTTATTTGTCCATATTACCATTACTCCAAGAAATCATGCTTGACTACTCCTGTCCCCTAATTCCAGCATTACAGAGGTCACTCCATCTTACTGGATCTCTCCCTTCTTTCTATTCCCAGGCAACTGCAGGAGTCTCACAACCAGTCACCCTGTCTCCAGTCTCATCCTGTCACATCCCTCCTTGCTCCTCTCTAAGCCATTTATCTTCTGTTCAGTCATTCATTCTGAAAATGTGTAAGCACCTACTGAACTTTCTGAAATGTCAGCCTTTGGTATCCAATGCAACTTATTACAGCTCTGTCTTTAACAGAAAAAGATTGGCAATAAACTAAATGTCTATCAGTAGTGGACGGGTTAAGTAAATTGTGGGCCATCCACACAACAGAAAATTAAACAGCCACAAGAAAAGGAAATATATGATATTTATAAATATATAGTAAATATAGTAGATTAATCACTTATAAAGCTAACATGAAGGTTAAGAGACAAAAGTAGTGAAAATAACTCATTAAAAGAATTAGTTAAGGGATAAGTAAGATGAAAAGATATAAAACTAGATATCAAAAACATGAAACATGGCAGCAGGGAGTAAAAACGTTAAGCCTTAGAATGCAATCAAACTTAAATTGCCTACTTAAAAAAAGGCTGTTATAGATATAAGTTGTTACGTGTAAACCTCATGGTAATCACAAAGGGCAAACCTATAGTAAATACACAAAAGATAAAGGAAAAGGAATATAAGCATACCATAAAGAAAGACATCAAACCACAAAGAAGGGGAGTAAGAGAATAAAAGAGGAACAGAGAGGAATAACCAAAAAAACCAGAAAACAATGAACAAAATGGCAATAAGTCCTTACCTATCAATAATTACTTTCAATGTAAATGGACTAAGTTCTCCAATCAAAAGACACAGAGTGGCTGAATAAATTAAAAAACAAGACCCATCTATATGCAATCTACAAGACACTCACTTGAAATGCACACAGAGACTGAAAGTGAGGGGAAGGAAAAAGATACTCCAGGAAAATGGAAACCAACAGGAAGCTAGAGTAGCTATACTTATATCAGCAAAATCAACTTTAAAATAGAGACTACAATAAAACACAAGGAGCACTACATAATGATAAAGGGACCAATCCAACAAGAGGATATAACATTTGTAAAAAATTTATGTAGTCAACATAGGAGCACCTAAATAAATAAACCAAATATTAACAGACCTAGAAGGAGAAACAGACAGCAACACAATAATAACTGGGGACTTCATATCCCACTTACATCAATGGATAGATCACCCAGACAGAAAATCAATATGGAAACAGTGACCTTAAACAAAGTATTAGACCAGATGAACTTAACAGACTGTATTACAGAACATCCCATCCAAAAGCAAAAGAAATACACATTCTTTCCAAGTGCACATGGAACACTCTCCAGGATAGATCACAGGTTAGGCCACAAAACAAGCTTAATAAATTTAAGAGGACTGAAATCGTATCAATCATCTTTTCCAAGCACAAATGATAGGAAACTAGAAATCAATTCCATAAAGAAAATGGGAAAATTCACAGATACGTGAAAATTAAACAACATGTTACTAACCAATCAAGAGGCCAAAGAAGAAATCAAAAGTTACATAAAAAAATACCATGAGACAAATAAAAATGGAAATAAATCAAAATTTATGGGATGCAGCAAAAGAAATTCTAAGTTCAGAGCAATAAACACCTACCTTAAGAAACTGGTTCTTTGAAAAGATAAAAATGATAAATCTTTAGCTAGACTCACCAAGAAAAAGAGAGGATACTCAAAATCAGAAATGAAAGAGGAGATATTAGAAATGATGCCACTGAAATATAAAATATCATTAAGAAACCATGATGAATAATTATATGCCAAAAAATTGGACAACCTAAAAGAAATGGAAAAATTTCTAGCAACATACAACCTACCAGACTGAATCATGAAGAAATAGAAATTCTGAACAGACTGATTACTACTAAGGAAATTGAATCAGTAATCAAAACTTCCCAAAAAACAAAAATCCAGAACCAGATGGCTTCCCTGGTGAATTCTACCAAACACTCAAAGAAGAATTATAACCAATTCTTCTCAAACACTTCCAAAAAATTGAAGATGAGGGAGTGCTTCCAAACTCATTTTATAAGGCCAGCATTATCCTAACACAGAAAGCAGACAGGATGCTGCAGGAAAAGAAATTATAGGCCAATATCTCTGATGAACATAGGTGCAAAATTCCTCAACAAAATATTAGCAAACTGAATTCAAAAATACATTAAAGGATTATATACCATGATCAAGTGGGATTTATTCCTGGGATGAAAGGCTGGTTCAATATCCACAAATCAGTCAATGTGATACACCATATTAACAAAAGGTATGATAAAAATCATATGATCACCTCAATACATGCAAAAAAGCATTTGACAAAATTCAACATCCATTTATGATAAAAACTCTCAATAAAGTGGGTATAGACAGAATGTACCTCAACATAATAAAGGCCATATATGACAAGCCTACAGCTAACATCATACTCAATGGTAAAAAGCTAAAAGCTTTTCCTTTAAGATCAGGAATAAGACAAGGATGCCCACTCTTGCCACTTTTATTTAATTTAATATTGGATGTTTTAGCCAGAGTAATTAGATGAGAAAAAGAAATTAAAGACATCCAAATTATAAAGGAAGAAGTAAAAATGTCACCAGAT